TTAAAAGTTGTCTAGCAAAATAAATTAGTGGAGGGTAAAGTAGAAACTTTTAAGTTATATATGACAATGCATTAGCAATGATATAGGTATTTTGGTAACTTCAATGTCTTTGTTACCAAAGAGCCCGTGGAAAGGAGGTATTTGCACTTTTTTTTCTCGAAACTATGGGAGAAGGCCATTGTTTAGTCAAAGCATGCACAAAGGTGGTTTATAAAATTGTTATAAGAGGATTTTTTTTATATCTAATTTTACCTAAAAATAATAACAAATCAATAAAACTTGATTTTAAAAAATAAAAATTAACATTAAAATAAAAAATTATACAAATTTATCTAAAGAATAGAAAATTGGCCACTCTCAGTAAAATGCACCTTAGATTGTAATTGGATAAACTAAACAAAACCCAAAAAATAATACTTGAATTGAAATTAGGTAAACACCATTTAATTGAAAATGTGATAAAGTTTCATCTTCGATTTTGCTGATAAATAAAATAAGTCTAATCAGTAGATTTTCACATATCCACAATGTAAAAGAAAAAGAAAAATTGACAAAAAGTGCTTTGTCTTATATTTTGTGTTTCTAAACCTGTATTTATACTGTACATATTGACACGTTACCTCTGTTTGTTTTTCGAGCAGTCAAGCTTTTTTTCGAATCAAATGTAACGGCTAGAAACACATGTAACCCAATCACGAGTAGCCACGTCATCAAATCCTCGGTCAGCAGATGTATCAACAAATGACGTGTCTGTTTCTAATTGGGTCACGTAGCCCGTTTTACGCGTTTTATTATTCGTGGTGGACCCGGAGCCACGGTGGCGCTAACGCCGTTAGAGCGAGGCGTGATGACTGATGAAACGTGGAAGCGTTGGAGGAATCCGTCAAAAAGTAGTGGCACTGCCAACCTGGGAGTAGTTAACACCCTTCCTTTCAAAAGCGTTATCGCCCTTCAGATTGGCGGCGTATAGAGTGCGCCCTACATGCACATCTCACCGTGCATTGAGAGCATCTCTCGCACTCGTTATGGGAGGTGCTCCCAATAAACGGTTGAGATGTGCTGTTGGGCGCCGATGCGAATTCGATGTTTGGAGGTTGATCTAATTCCACCCGTCCACCGAATCGTTGACCTGTCCCACTCCGCCCTCCTTTGAAAGAAAAGAAACCTCTGAAACCGTCTACCAGAAACATCGAACAATCCACCGCTTCTCCGTCTTTCCTCCTACGCTTCAGCTCTCTCTCTCTCTCTCTCTCTCTCTCTCTCTCATAATTTTCTTCGTTGAAAACCGAAGGACTCATCAAGTCTTTTTCTCCTTCCTTCCTACCACGCTTCAGACCACCGATTTTAGGTCTCTCTCTCTCTCTCTCTCATAATTTTCTTCGTTGAAGACCGAAGGACTTACCAAGTATTTTTCTCTCTTTGTATCTCCGGGGAAAAAGGCGAGCTTCTGTCGAGCTCGCCGTCCTCGTGTCCATGCCGGCGACTTCCTCACCTTCCTCCCCGTTCTTTCTAATCTCCTTCCTCGTCTTCTTCATCTTTGGCCTCTGTTCTTCGCTCGTACGATCCGAACTTGATTCATCGGCGATTCGCTTACCATCCGACGATGCAGTGCACGCAGATGATCTGTGCGCGGGGTCGAGCCCTCCTTCTTGTCCCGTCAATTGTTTCCGAACAGATCCGGTCTGCGGCGAAGACGGCGTTACCTACTGGTGTGGCTGCGCGGATGCTATGTGTGCCGGCACGCGGGTCGCTAAGTTAGGGTTTTGCGAGGTCGGAAATGGAGGCAGCGGGCCCGTGTCCGGTCAGGCGCTACTGCTAGTTCACATTGTCTGGCTTATCGTTCTAGGGTTTTCAGTGTTGTTCGGGCTTTTCTGATGGGGGATCCGACTGATGACCAGTATTTCGTATTCTTTATAATTGTTCTTCGTTAAAGCCTTCCCGGCTTGCGTTGGATTCTGCTACATGTGCGTTCTTGTATGTAAGAGTGATTTGTACGATCATTGTTTCTTCTCATGATTCTTTTTTGGAAATAAAACTAGTCCCATTCTTTTTTATTGTCTGCTTACATGTATCTTTATTCATGAATATAATTCTTTCTCGTAGGCCATTTTTCTTGAATGACAATGAACCCTCACTTAATCCATGCCGAAGTGATGAAATTAAAATTACTAAAACCTAAAAAAAATATTTCAGAGCACCACTCCACTATTAAAAGGGGCTGTTCCTAGCTATTAATGAGGGATCGGAATTAGGGCATTTTAATATTCCAGGACAAAATTTCCATATTTCGATAGTCTATTAACAACCGGGAGTTGATCGAGTTCAGATGCTGATTATGGAGATCACATTTGCGCCCAGCGCCCCACATGCACATCTCAACGTGCATTGGGAACATTTCCCGCATTTATGATGGGGCGACATTCCCAGTACACGGGTGGGAGGTGCTGTGGGGCGCCAATTTGATCTCATGATTATGAGGATTCAAATGCCATTGGGAAATAATAAAATGATGAAGAGCTAGGTTTTCTTTTCTTTTCTTTTCTTTTTTTTTTTAATTTTTTGGCTGCGTATGAAGAGCTCGGATTACTAAATTCTATTTCTATCCCTGACTCAACACAAGTAAAATATTTCTATATCTTCCGAGTCTTGAATCTTGAGTTTTAAACATAAAGTGATACTTAGTAGCCATCTAATGTAAGCTTAATTTATGTTTAAGTGTATATAATAGACTTCTTCTAAATACTCATCTTTTGATATTTTAGTCTTCTATTGCATTTCTTCTCTATCCTTCCAATTCAACGCAAGCAGAACTTGATAGCAGTGACCCATTGCTGAGCAACACCCATAAATTCATGAGAAAAAAATGAAACATTCAAGGGCTTCTTGTAGCCAACTCTCAATTTGTATTTTTTTTCCAGACAAGAATTTGCACAAATGGGTGTGAAGCATTGCTGATGATAAGGTTGTGATAGAAGTTGATAACTAGGTGGACAAGGTGTAGCATCAAATCCCTTGAATTTTTAATCACAAGCTTTTATGTGAGACATCTTTGTTTTCTGAACATTAATCTCATTCAATACAAGATCTACATTAAGCACCTTGGGATAACAAAATTTGCTTCATTCACAAGCACAAGAGAAGTAGCAATGTAACTGATAGTCTTTTAAACAAGTGTTGTTGTGTAGGAGAAGTAGCTTTTGCAAAAGAGTACTTTATATGAGAACAGCCTTATTATTATTATTATTTTTTTTCTATTTGCAAATGGATACTTTGTATGAGGAGAAATGTGCTTGATTGGGAGATGCAAGAACTTTTGTCTTTTATGGAATTAATGAACAAGGCTCACCTGTGTTTGGATTCAGAAGATCAGGTAGTATGGGCTGCAAAAAAAAAGAAAAAAAATCAGGACTCTTCTCAGTTTGGAGTCAGCTGGAAACAAAGTAGCTGGAGGTAGATATGGAAACCCAAAGATCCCTAAAGGTGATTTTCTTCTTGTGGACAGCCATTCTAGACAGGATTCTTGCTACGAATCACTTGATATCTGAAGGAATAGAGGTTCCTACTCAATGCTGCTTATGTAATTTCCAAGAAGAATTAGTCCATCACCTGCTAATTCATTGTAAAGTTTCCTATAGCATTTGGTTGCATTTTATTCAACTATTTGGAATTCTGTGGGTGTTTCCAAGGGATCCGAGCTCCCTCATATCTGCCTGGTCTACTGGTGGTATAAGCAAAAAAGGAGTTATGCTATGGAAACTGATTCCTTTTGTAACATGTTGGAGGATCTGGCAAGAAAGCAATAGCAGAATGTTTAAGGGAGTAGCCAAGGAAAAGAAGGGGTTAATTGGATAATTGGAAAGGCTGTTAGCTTCTTGGTCTAAGGCATGCAAGGAGTTTTCAAGTTGGCCTCAGATTATTGTGGATAATCTAGTGTGACCTCAATTTTTAATTTATGGTTTTCAATTATCAAAAAAAAAATTATTGTGGTTTGTGAATAATGATTTTGTAATTTCTGCTTCATACTTGTAAAGATTATCTTATAGAGGGCCCTTTTGTTGACCTGTTTTTGTATAGCATTTTTGGGCAGAGCTCTCCCTTGCCCTATATACAGTAATACAATACCATATTTCAAGTAAATAAATAAAATTGGGTCCTTAAACATTAGCTAAGAATATTTTGGTTTCAGGTACCATTTTCAGTTTTCTCTCATTATTGTTAGGGTAAAAGACTTAAACCTCTCTTGACATTTCACCTAAATACTAAAACCTCCCCTTACCTTTGTGATAGGACTTAAACCTCTGTCATTGGCTGATGTAGCAAGACAAAAACTTCCCCTTGCTCAAACTATTTTTAACTGCCATTAGCACATAATCATGTGTGCCATTAAATTTTTATCAATAACTCGACAATGCTCCTGTTTAACTCAATAGTGCTTGAGTGTTTCCCATTACATGTTACTTTCTTCAACAGAAACAAAGACTGACTCATATATCCCAAACTTCAAAATTTTCTCAACAGAGCCCTTTCTGACATGCTGCACCCTTGATCTGTCTAACTTATTCCAAATCATTATTGGTTGGGAGTGCAATCCTTGTGAAAACTGTGAAGAGTCAAAGGCCATGGTACCCCTACCAGTCCTGAAAAAACAAATTAATTCCTCTTTCATCAGAACAAGACTAGCTCTTATTCATTATATTTTCTCTACTTTTTTCATGACAATGAGCAAAACTATTTCGTTAGTCAGGATTAAAACATGGCCATCCATTTGTGATGATATCATGATAAAATGCACAGCCAATTTGTTTCTTTTTTTAATTGTTCCTTACCATGAACTCAAAGAACCCACTTCATCTTTCAGGATGAAAATCATAATAGCAGGAAAACCAAATTAATTCTTCCCAATACAAGCCAACCCACTTAAATTTTCAATAATCTGAAGTCTGAACATACCCAATTTATCATAATATTGAATTTCATTAACTGCTTTTTATCAGTATCAGAAGAGAAAAAGGGGAGCTGTTGAGATCTCACCTTCTCAGGGAAGGGAATCTTCCTTGCTTCTCATCAGGGTTGTTGTCTCCCAACCCAACCTTTCCATGTGGCTGGCCTTTCGTAATATATTCAAGGTTCAGAAGAAAAGGAAGTAGGCGTTGATGATCTTCCGGGCTACTTCTTGAGGCAAAGAAGGTATGACAGTATTTTTGTGTTTCCTGTATCCCAAACTGTAGCCATCTAGATAAGATAGAGTGATGCATGAAGTAGGATTGGTGTGCACAAATCGGTAGCCATTTGTATAAATTTGGCTTTAGTTCTTCATAGCTGATTAAAACTGAAAATAGTTTGCGATTTGACATTACCATTTGTAATGCCAGTTCATATGGTGCTTTTAGTGGATTAATTTGGTTTCAGATACATAATTTGAATAAATTTTATGTAAATGCTGGTTTTGGTTAGTCATATCTATTGCAATTTCTTTAACTAGTGAAAAAATAAATACTTGAAAGATGAAGATAGCAGTATGAATAGGTTACAAAGAAGACAGCAATATATGCTTATAATTAGGCATGCCAAAAACCTGGACATCTATCTGCACCGTCATTGGGTGGATTTGTTACGATCAATCATTGCAACAACCATATTGGTATTGTTCTATTTCATGGGCATGAATAGTGCGCTGGACAATGAATTATTTGAAACTGGGTAACAAGAAAAGCTGATATGCAATGAAAGGAGCACATTCAGTTCTATGTATCTTTCTATTAAAGTCAAACATATAGAACAGCATGAGGGCATTTTTGATATATCTTTCATTCTGTCATGGTTAACAGTATAATCTTCTAGTATTCATACAATGATACAATATCTTCAGATTTAGAGTTGGTGTTGTTATGTTCGTGTTTCGGATTGATACAAAATTTCACGGTTTTCTTGAAAATTTGAAAAAAAAAATCAAGGATAAAAGTGTCTTTTTATTGATTCTGTATTGCATATCACACTGATGGTAGGTTTAATGTGGCGTTCAGTATCGTGGAATGATCATGAGATATTGCGTTTCAAAACACACGACGACAGTTTAGGATGTTCAGTTAGGTTTTTCTCGTGATCAAAACACGTTACCCCGTTGTATGCTATGGTGACTGATCCCATGCTTTGCATATGATGTTTACCCTAACGTAAATCCATTTTTTTACCATTGCAACCTCTCTTACAGAGCACCGCCGCTGCCCCTTGCTTCTCTGCTCACCGCTGCAACTCCAACCACAGCTTCTTGCTTCACCACTCGCCACTGCAACTCCGACCACTACTGCATCGAACTGTCGGCGGTAAGTGCTCGATCTCTGTCTACTCTTACTTACATCTGTATTATATTTGTTTTAAGCTAATGAATAAGTGCTTCTTCTCTGATTCTTTTACTTTGTGACTGGTTACATGTTTACTATATCTACATGTTTATGTATTGTGAGAAACAAAATTTCTCTTTGTCTATAGAACTATAAAAGCAATTAACAGATATTCTCTGCGTTGGTCCTTCTTGATCTAAGCTATAAAAGCAATTAACAGATAGTCCCCCTGGTCTTTTTGGTCCTTCTTGATCTAAGCTTAATGTTGGGCTTTTGCAATTTACTTTCTGCCCCAACATCCAAAACCCACAAAAGGCTGTCACACAATGATTACGGAAAGAGGCAACTTTACTTTGTCAATCATTTTACCTAGAAATCAAAACCCATTTCACACTTACTTTCTAGGAGAAAGGGGCAACCTTCTATGATAAATGGGACCTATTTATTTTGTAAAGAGATTGGGCTGAATGGGTCTTAGTATCTTTTCTTGTAATACTTTTTCTTTTTCTTGTTAGCTAATGGGCCTCTCTTAATGGGCCTGTTATTTCTTTTTATTTGATCTCTTTATGTTACTGCCTAGCTGGCCGCCCACTTAAGGGCATACTTGTAATTATTTTAACATTAATTCTTAATAAAAAGGATTAGAGAAGAAAGGGAAGGATATTCGAACATTTCTTCTTCTTCCTCCTCTTTTCTCCATCTTCTTCTCTTGTACTGTTGCTCTTACTTTTCTTCTTCCTTTTTCTCTCTAATTTTTCAAATTTACACTTATTTTTGAGGACTGGTTTACATCTTGGTATCAGACTAGGTTTCTTTCTTCCTTCTTTTCTTCTTCCTCTTTTCCCATACACCTTTAGATTAAGAGAGTATATGGAGAGATAGGTTCTCTATAGCTCAGAGGATCTCTGGCCTAGTTGGTAGAGGGTTTGGAGAGTTTAAATCTGGTTGGATATTGCCAAGAAGTGGTGTTGTTCTATTGCTGCCCAAAACCCTAGCCGACTAGAGATTTTCGAAGGTACAGGTAAAGGTGAAGTTTTGGGGGTGGCGCTCTGTGCTTGGGAGATGTCTTTTGACTCCTAAAGGAGGGTGGTTCAAGTTTGGAAGAGATTAGGAAGCTCTGGTAGGAGCGGCTGCATCTTCTCTCTTCCTCCCCAATAGTTGGATGGAGTAAAACCCTAGTTTTTAAGCATCTGGGTTTTGGTTTGACTTCAAGTAAGTTTATATAGACTAAATTTCTGGTTCTTTGATTTTCGTTTTATTAATGGAGCCATAGGAAGTGAGTTCAAGCAATTGTTGGTTTCCGGCCTTGGCTCGGTAGATTTCGTTTTGACTGGTGTGACCACAAACAAGATAGATGGGACAAATTATCTTGCTTGGGCACAGTGTATAAGAATTTATGTTTGTAGCAGTGGAAAACTCGGGTATCTCACAGGTAGTAAAGTGAAACCCGAAGAGATAGACCCTGAATTTGAGAAATGGATGCGGGATAACTATACTGTCATTGGATGGTTGGTCAACTCTATGCAACTTCATATAAGTTAGCATTATCTCTGGATGTCTTCGGCTAAGGAGATATGGGACAGTGTTACTAAGACCTATTCACAGAAGTTGAATGTAGCCAGAGTCTACAAGTTGAAAAGTGACGTGAAGAACCTAAGACAGGGGGATAAGAGTAGCAATCTACTACTCTATACTGAAATCTCTATGGCAAAAAATTTGATGTTATGGAGACAGTTGTATAGGAGAGTAAGAATGATGCTGAAATGTATAGGAAGTTGGTGGAGAGAAATAGGGTATTTGAATTTCTTATTGGATTCAACCCTGAGTTTGACATCATTAGGCAAAATATCCTGGCCAAAGATGAGGTTACTCTTTCCCAAGCATATGCTATGATAAGTAGTGAGGAGAGTAGGCGGTAGGTTCAGTTACAGAGTCCACCTACAGAATACTTTGCACATGTTGGAATAAAGCCAAAGGGTCCTACTGAGAAAAAAGAGCAGATATGTGAATATTGCAAGAAACCGAGGCATACAAAGGACACTTGCTGGAAGCTTCATCTTGAGCTTCTTTCTGATAGGGAAGGAGCCAGTGGGTTTTAAATGGGTATTTACCATTAAATATCACTCTGATGGATCTATTGAGAGGTTTAAGGCTAGGTTAGTTGCTAAAGGCTACACTCAGATGTATGGTATTGACTATCTTGAGACATTTGCTCCTGTAGCTAAGA